AGAAAACATAAACATTTTGCGACATACCCCTAAATATGAGAGATCTGGATAACTAGATTTGAAGAACGCTTCTAGGCAAATTGAACGAAATATCGTCTCCGGTGACGACAACAGTTTCCGAAGACACTCTGAAATACTCGACAATAGCTATATGTTTGAGCTTTGAGTGGCAATGCAATTTATATTCTGAATGCACTGAAATTTTGAATAAATTTGCGATAAACGGTACAACTGTATTTAAACCGACAAATCTATTTAAACTGTCATCAAAAACATCTATTTATACTGTCCCAAAAATAATAAAATATTTGATTAATAAGTAATAGGCGTTAATTGATAGAAAACACTAGAGTCGTGGCTTTGAGTCCCACGCGTGTTGGCACTGTATAAAAACAAACACTGTACAATAACACGCGGCAGGTGAAAGTAACAATATGTTGAAAAAAGTTCGACGACGTCGCCGACACGGTAGCTCAATTGGTTAGGTTAGGTTAGGACGCTACGCGGGTGCCGGTTCATGTCCTGCCCATGTCGTAAATTTTTTTTTCAATCTAAAATCGGTTTTTAATGTATTATATATATATATATATATATATATATATATTCTATTAATAATAATAAGCTGCAATATTTCTTGACGTGTCATTTACTTGTCATTTAGTTAAAAGGACGAATATTTGCACACGCAAGTATTTGAAAAAGGAATCAACCTTCAAGAAGATCTCAGTTGGGTAATGTTTTGTATAGCGCAGCATTTTATGTTTATGAAATTTACTGCACCAATCTCTTATATTTTACCAATGTATATTATTAGTATTACAAAGCCATAAGTAGACGACGTTAGAAGCTCGTTAGTAACTAAGCCGTAATAGCAGGACAACCAATATCATTTTTTTAAATTAAAATAAAGCTGATTACATCAGTAGCACTGAAATAAAAATAAAAAATATACTTTGACTGAGAAACCTGTCGGGCCATAGTGAAAAGTAATCTGCAAACGAATTTAAGTAATATATTTCGCGTTTTAAACAGTTAATGTTTTATTTGAATGTGTACTACTCGTGTAACTACAGACAGTATTTAAGATATCATTATCATTAATGTATAGTTCAATTTCTACTTGAGACCGCTAGAGGCAGAGTAGCCTAATTGCACTATGACTTGTGTATATATATTATCATAGACAATATGTTAATCTACAAGAGCACAGTGACCAAAAATTGTAAACATTATTTTTATACAAATAATAGTGCAAATAAATTTTCGCCTAAGTTAATTGAGCATTTTGTTTCCTCCTTATTGAAAATCATGTTTTTTGTTATTAGGCCACTCTGCCTTTAGCCAATCTTTAGCAATTAATCCATTTAAAATAGCTGTACTAGTTAAAACAAAGTGCACACATATTGATCGACTTTTTCCGTACAGGAAATAGGTAGTCTAGAGTGCAATGGCTTGTTATCTATCTGTACTTGGCTAGTTCGTTGTCCACTAAAGGGATTAGCAGCACACGCCGTAATAGTCTAGGAGCCAGCCTATGCGAGTCACAGTATATAACTACGGGCAATATGATTACACAGTGTATAAACCTTGCCTTAAAAAAGAATTTCAATGTGTTCAACTATTTTGGCGTAAAATCTCACTCTTGGTATAGCCAAGAGTGAGATCGTTGAAGAACGTCAAATTTTGAGCTCCCAGCTCTTGGCCTTTTAGGAATTGAGGACGTGTGACATTTGCGTAGTTAGTCCTTAAACTGGGAAAAGCCGCTTTTCTCGTATACCTTAAAATTGCTGTGATATGTTAAGAGGACTCAGTAAAACAATTATTCGTAAATGCTCTGTTATAAAGCTGGAAATAAAATTTGTTCATGTATTTTTGTATATCGGTAGCAATGTATTGCTAATAGGCGACGGGTCGTGGATACGATTCCCACCAAAAAAACCTTTTTCTAATCAAATTGTATTTATTCTTAATCATACTAAATGACTGGTAGGAATTAGAAAATTCCGCCCGGGCCACGAACCAACGTGCTCAGATGAAAAAGCCGTGAAGTTTAAGCGCGTGTCAGCCTGGAATTTTAAATATCGAAAACCAAAATACTTTCTGTCCTCCTCTATCATAAAAAAAAAATGTTTAAAATTTTAATAGCACAAAATAAGTGAAAAATACTGCCTGGTGAGGTGAGTAAACAGAGAAATGTCAATAGGAGTACGTACTTCCAATTTCCTGAAGCATAGCGAAAAATTCACGTTGCCACTGACTTTTATAGCAATCGACTAACTATAAATTGATCGAAATAGTATTTTAAAACTTTAATGTTTTTTACATGTTATTGCACATAATGGCACTATATAGATTCAAAATCGACTCGGGCAGGACTTGAAGTGGTATCGTCAGAGTGCCGTGCTGCTCTAAGCAATTAAGCTACCGAGTCCCAAGTCCTGCCCGAGTCGAAAAAATTTTCAATTTATTATCGATTTTTAATCGAAACATTATTCTTTATAAATATATTTTTTATTATTTAGCTTCTTACAGACTTCATCTAAGTGTAAAATGCTTAACTGAAATAAATCTTAGGTTATTAATAATTTCAACCCGTTCTTATATAAATAATTTGGTTGTTTGTTTTTTACGCAAGTTGAACAAATACAATGTACTTGCGTTAATATGTTTTTTTTTTGTACAGTAAGAAATTCATTAAATAACTTATTTGTAACGACGACAACAGCCTCCTGTGACCACAACTGCTGTAAAGAATCCAAAACAAATCCAGATCGTAGTTAAGAAGAAGTTTTTTTATCATGGTAACCAGTACATGCCTTAAAGATGTGTACATAGTGACATCATTACATACTTGTATAAACAATTTATGTATATATGTACGTTATACAACAAAGTACAGCTAAGTGACCATAGTTAGGAAAATGTTGTTTGCAGTTTATTATTAAGATTATATTTCTTTAATCTCACCAAGATAGTCCTTATGTTGATTTTATAAGTTAATAACAGAGATTTTAGTCGATTTTATTTGGTAGATATTATCTTCATTTATCCACTCTAACATGTAGATTGTAGCGTGGTTTATTGTTGAATATTGACATGTCATTGTCAAATAACTATCGTAAAATTTATGTACACAGTAGAAATATTCAAATTTCTTTAACGTAAATGCGCTTTATTTAGATAAAATATTTTTTCTTGACATGTTACTATCGATAACAATAATGTGCCTACGCTAGCGTAACAGTTTTTACTTTGACATTAGAGACACCCATCTTTAGTTTCCCCGTAATCACATCGGACCGTACCTACTTACTTAAAATCATTTTCAACTAATACATTTCGCGTTTGAAACCGTTAAAGTGTGTTTATTTTAATGGTCTATAATAGCAAGAGAGAAATGTCTTGCCTCCATATCGAATACTTTTAAAACTAAGGCTTACGTTTATTTACATTTTCAAATTAGGAATCAAATAAATAAAGATATCAATGTTTGTGCGTAAAATTAACAAGTGTTACCGATGTCGACGAACATCGTCACGTCCTTAATTATTTGGAAAGCAGTAAAACTCCTCGATCGCTCATCTAATCGCCAAACTACGCTATGCCAGGGCGATTAAGCTTCTTCCAAGCAAGTGCCCTCAATCTCGGATAGTAATCCTTACTTTGACGGGGATATCGGTCAAGTCGTAAGTACTATTCCGCAGTGATACTTCAAACGCTGTAACATCAATTTAAAAAGGAACTTGTATCTATTATATCATTATTTCCTTTCTATACAATTTCACGTAGTTTATCCAAAAGAAGAGTGATGATATTCTCAGTTATATTGGCGTCAGAAACAAAGATTTAAAAATTTTAAGCTTATATCAGATGTGTCGAATAACATTTATGGACGTAATTTTTAAATAAAACACTTTTAACATTTTAAAAGTAAAAATGTATTAGTTAAGTTATTTACAATTTATTCTAAACTCTCGTGACCACGACCTCTGCAAGCATCCAAAACATCGGGCTGTAGTAAAATAAATTATAAGTTAATTAATACATTTCGCGTTCTAAAATAAATTTCACATAATTTATTTTATTTATATATTGCAATTCAGATTTTCTCCTGGTAGGTAGTTTAATATTAAAGTTTATAATTTTAAAGCAAGCAAGCAAAAGCAAATACTGACTTATTAATGAAGAATAAGTAATAATCTAATTTTAATATTGTGTTAACATAACCATTTATCTGTGGCAGTTATAGAACAGTCGTACCTGACAAGTAAAGGAGATTTTACGCTATAAACCGGTTTATGGCCGTGAAACAAATAAAGAAACACGAAAATTTTCCTCGTTTTGTGGCTTTATTTTTGTATTAAAGACGTTACAGCGTGGGTGAGGCGTCCTAAGTGGAGTGTGGAAAAACTTAGATTAAAACTTCGACGAAGACATTGTTCAGTATTTCTGTTGTCCTCTTTTTCGAGATTGGAGACAGGACGAAAGCTTTAATTAATTTTCATTATTTTATTATTGTACAAGTACGCTTGTGAAATATGTTTTAAACGTTGTACAGAGATAATTAGGTAACTTTCAGATATCTTATTTATATAAGTAATTACTTAAGTTAATATAAAATCACAAGAGTTGTCAGCTGTCTACGCCAGCTTAAACCAATTTAAGTTAAATTATTTTTTAGTGTTTGTTAAGCGTATTTTTTAGTAATGCAATAGTGGGTATGTAGGAGACTTGATATTTTGGACCCTGTACAGAGACCGTGGTCATCGGAGGGACTAAAGATGGCGACTATGTGTTTGATAGTTTTATACGAGGGTAGTTGTAAAAGACAGACGTGTTTATTTTGCTTTCTATTAATATTTTGAATTAATTATTAATATTAGTGTTATTGCACGTATTATGTTTTGATTCAAGTACCTGTAGTGCCAGTTCTAGTTCTCCTTGATAGATATCCATCTAAAATTCTTACACTTATTCTGCACATTTGTCATACATACACTATGGATGCACTAAAGAAGAGTCTTGATGAGATGAAAGAATCCTTCCAGAACCGGATGAAACAATTTCAGACAGATCTACAGTTGGGTAACTCTGGCTCCGCTAGCTCCCCTAATGGATTGGCCTCTGACTTTGCAGTCTTCAGGTCATTTGTGTTGTCCTCCCTCGAGTGCCTCCAAAGTCAAATGAATCTTCTTGCGAGCCTAACTGACCAGGTTGAAACCAGAAGCCGCCGTAAGATAGTTCTTGTGCATGGTGTTCCCGAGGCAACAAAGGAGGATACAGCATCTCTTGTCATTACACATTGTTGAAGATATCTCCATTCCTGAGCTTGTCCCAGAGACAGTTTCTCAATGCCACAGATTGGGTCCAACTAGGTCTAATAAGCCAAGGCCTATCTTGGTTAAGTGCCGAGACCTCTCCACCAAGACAAAGTTATGGCAAAACAAGAAGGTCCTCAAAGGTACTGGTATCACAGTCTCAGAATTCCTGACCAAGCCACGCCATGATGCCTTTATGTCGGCTCGGACAAAATTTGGAATACATAAGTGCTGGACTAGGGATGGGACTGTTTATGTATTGGATTCCGCTGGGGAGCGTCATAAGGTGTCTAGTGTAGCAGACGGGAGCAATCCCTGGAAGTGACCCCGCCTGTACGGTTCCTCCTCTACTGGCGAAACAGTTCCAAAGCAAAGACCCAAACGAGTGCTTCGCAATAAGTAAATCTTCCCCTTTCTTTATCTTATTGTTGTTATAAACGTAGAATTAATTTAATGTTTAGTTATTGTTAGATCTCATCTTGCCTATATTCATCTTTTTTATGTGTTTGAGTTTGTTTCCTGTTCTTTTAGTCCCTTTAACGTTAATGAAGTGTATTGTTAGGGTGAACTTTGTACTCTGATTGGAACATGTAGTCTTTAGTATATAGCTATGTATTATTTTTTTTTAAACATCCACAGTACTATATTAATTTATTTTTGTTCTTTTTATTGCACATCTTTTTATCTACGTATAAATCGTTTACCATTGTTATGTGAAGATACGTCAACTTGTCATTCTGAATTTTGCACGACTTTGACATATGACATTATTTAGGAGTTGCCAGGATAACAAACTCAATTTCGCCATATTTACTTTGCTAGATGCATCACTCTATTCGAAACTTTTTTTTTTTTTTTCTTAATTATTATAATTGTTATGACTGTACGTTTAAGTGAATTCTAAAAGATTATTTTACGAAATTTAACTGTTTAGCTGGCCTATTGGTGCTTTGTTTAATGTTATTTTGTAATTCTAATCAAATTTTAATAGTTTTTTAAGAATTTTGTATACTAATTAAGGTAATTTTATATTATGTCTCAACGTAGTTTAAGTTCTTCCAATCCCCAATTTGACAGCTTTTCTGATCTCAGTTTTGACGAAAGTCTTTCTAATTTCTCCAATCCATCTCTTGATGTTACTCTCGCCCAGCAGTTTCCAAATAATTCTAAAAGCTTTAATGTGGTCCATCTCAATGCCCAAAGTATTCCTGCACATTATAATGATCTCCTAACCTCCTTTATATCCCCTAATGTTCATGCTATCCTAATATCCGAATCGTGGTTTAAACCTAGTCTTGCTTCTTCATCTTACTCTCTTCCAGGCTTTCACCTACTCCGCAACGACAGACAGGGTCGTGTCGGTGGTGGTGTGGCTGTTTATCTTCGCTCAAATATTCCTTACTCTGTTATTAAGTCTTCTTCCAGCCCAGACTCCCATAATAGCGGTGAATATTTACTTCTTGAGGTGACATTATGTCACACGAAAATTTTGCTTGGGGTGTTTTATAGTCCTTCCCTCTCTGTTAACTACTTTCCTACACTTGACAATCTCCTAGAACAATATATACCCCTCTATGAACATTTCATTATGATGGGTGATTTCAATACCTGTCTCATAAAAGATGATTATCGCTCTAAGAAACTCACAAATCTTACGGAATCCTATAATCTTGAAATACTTCCACTCTCCGCCACGCATCACTATCCCCACTCTTCTCCCTCCTTAATAGATCTTATCCTAGTCTCTAAATCGAATCTAGTCACTAATCATGGTCAATGTTCCGCTGACGCTTTTTCTTACCACGATCTCATTTTCCTCTCCTATAATTTACGCCCTCCTAAAAGCAAACCTAAAATAATTTTGCAACGTAACTTTCAGAGTATTGATTCTGTGCGTCTTTCGGAAGACGCGCAGAACATTAACTGGGATGCCGTGTTGAGTGCCACCGACATCAATGATAAAGTCAATATTTTTAATTCTTTGTTAACTCAACTCTACGACAACCACGCGCCCGTTAAATCCTTTAGGGTTAAACATTTCCCGGCTCCATGGCTGACTGATGACTTAAAGGCATTACAGAAGATGCGGGATCGTGCTAAGTGTCGATACAAGGGGAATGACTCGGATTTTAACCGTGATAGATATGTCAAGCTGAGAAATCGCTGCAAACATTGTGTAGAGAGCACAACGCCGGCACATTTTTCCTCTGTTGAGAACGGCGACACAGTTAAAATTTGGAAGTTTCTGCGAACATTAGGAATTGGGACACAAAAACAAACCGTCTCGGATAATTTAAATCTTAATCTTTTAAATGATCATTTCGCTGATCCCTCTTATACAATTATGTACGGCTAAGTCAAGTACTCTACATTTTCTTTCATCAGTTCCAATTCCTACATCATCACCGTTCGACTTCTCTCCTTTCACTGATTGTGACGTTAAGAAGAGCATTATTTCCAACACGTCGAAGGCTGTCGGCAGTGACAGCATTAGTCGTAATATGATTCTCCCTATTATTGATATCCTCGTTCCCATAATTAGTCACATTTTCAATTTTTGCATATATTCTTGTACCTTTCCTGAAACCTGGAAGGAAGCAAATATCATTCCTATTCCTAAGAAATCCCATCCTCAATCCTTTTCTGACTATAGACCAATTTCAATTTTGCCTTTCCTGTCCAAAATCCTGGAACGCTTAGTTCATAATCAGCTATGTGTCTATCTTAACAAGTCTACGTTCCTTAATCCCTTCCAATCTGGTTTCCGACCTGGTCATAGTACGACTACTGCTCTTGTCAAAGTCACAGAAGATGTGCGGCGCAGCATGGACCGTCAGCAAGTCACCATTTTGACTCTTCTTGACTTCAGTAACGCCTTTTGCACTGTCGATTTTGATATTCTGCTGAGCCTTTTGCGTACCATTAACGTATCTCCAACAGTGATTGGCTGGTTTCAAAGCTATTTATATGGACGTCGGCAGAGGATTCATGTTGATGATCATACATCTGCTTGGCGTCTACTTACAGCTGGTGTTCCCCAGGGCGGTGTGCTTTCTCCTCTTCTGTTTTCTATCTTTATTAATTCTATCTCTAAAAAACTTTCTTCTCTTTACCATATGTACGCAGACGACCTTCAGATATACACACACTGTAGCCTTGACAATCTATCTACGGCTATCTCGACTACCAACAATGATTTACAAACTATCGTAGATTGGAGTTATAGTTATGGCTTAAAAGTCAATCCTGCTAAGTCTCAATGCATCATTGTTGGTAGTTACCATCTGATGAATCGGGTTGATTTACGTGACATTCCACCTGTTGTAATAGATACAACCATAATCCCTTACAGTAAGTCTGTCAAGAGTCTGGGGATCTTTATTGATCAAAATCTATCCTGGCGCCACCAGCTCAAAGAGCTCAGTAAGAAAATTTATGCGGCCTCGCATTCCTTAAAACGTCTTCAAAATTTTCTCCCTATACCCACTAAAATCCTACTCTCTCATTCTCTACTCCTTTCTATCCTTGACTACGCCGATGTCTCTTACATTGATGTAACAGAAGAGCATCTGAATAAACTTGAGCGACTACAGAATGCGTGTATCCGTTTTATCTTTGGGTTACGTAAATACGATCACGTATCCGAATATCGCCGAAAACTTAACTGGCTTCCGATCCGCTCGCGTCGGAACCTTCATGTCCTTGTTCTCCTTTATCGTATCCTTTTCGACCCTAAATCCCCGGCCTATTTAAAAGAAAACTTTCTTCCTTTAAGCTCACATAATTTGAATCTTCGCTCGATTCATAATCTTTTATTATTTATTCCTGCGCATAAGACCTCCTTCTTTAACAACTCCTTCACTATTAAAGCCATTAATCTCTGGAACTCTCTTCCCTTAGAAATCAGAAAAGCTCAATCTCTCCGTACTTTTAAAGTCTCAGTTACCAAATTTTATCTTTCCAGCTGTTAATTGCCTTTCTTTTTCTTGATCCTTTCTAGCACCACCTACCTATAGTCCTTTTATTTTATTTTTTGTTTTTCCCTTCACTTCAGGTTGCCTGGAAGAGATCGCTGTTTAGCGATAAGGCCGCCTTTTAGTTATGTACTACATAAGAATTTATTGTTGTAAACCATTTCTGTGGTGTTTGTAACTAATAAAGTTAATAAATAATAGTTTTTTTTAATAATTAATTCTTTTCAGCCAATACTGAAGTAACAAACCGAATAAAGTGTTTTAATTCATATTATTCTAAGAAAGCAGCCTTGGTCAAGTAACGACTAAAAATAGCGACTGAATTGAATGAATTTTTTTAACCGCTATAATTAGTTCTTTTCAGCCAGTACTAAAAACAATTGAACCAAAACAGCCAGTGTTTTAATTCATATTTGTTTGCTTCGGACATAATGAATGTCCAACGCATTATTAATTATATCACACATCCTCACGTAAGTGAACTGCGCTAACAATGTTATTGGAAACTTAATTAAATACTAGTTGAAATTCGATGTATAAATCGTTCAGATAAATACTCGCAACGGGAACAATTGGACAAACTCAACAGCCAATATAGTTGCAGAAATCGTATGGGAGCATTCGATAATTTGCATTTCCGATGTATTGTTAATAATTTTCATCAGCGAATGTTTATTATGATACTACGAGTATCGTATCGCTTCGTTTAATGTATTGTTTAAACAAAGAGTTTCCACTAAAAAATGAAAAATATACGACCATTTATATTCTATACTAATATCATAATGCTGTAGTGGTTCTTTGTTTGAACGCGCTAATCTCAGGAACTACTGCTTCGAATAATTATTTTTGTGTTGGTACGATTTATGGAGGAAGGCTTTAAAATATTAGGCTGTGACTAATAGGAACAAAGAAACAGACTGAATGTGGAAAAAAGCAAGTCTAAATTCCCCAAAAAATATGTAGAAAATAATTATTCCTCTTTAAATAATCAAAAAAAAGTCTACCACGGTATACCTACTTACATCTTTAAAAATAAACACAAAAGAAACGTAAATGGTAATTAAATCGTCGAAATACTTCATAATATGACAAAGGAACTTTTGCCAGGTCGGCTAGTTAAATATTAGTGTAGATTACCAGTATTGCGTTTCGAGTTTTAAAGTATATTCTACGTTTAAAACTACTACTACTACTACTAACGTCTAAAACATGATATGTCATAAGTGTACTTGTACTATAATAATAAAATAAATAGAAATAAAATAATGAAAATTATATGAATTCACTGTAGACTGGGTGACATTTCATATTAACTATCTAAGATATATATCAATATAAATATTGCAAT